AATATCAAAGAGGATCTATCTGAACGCAAAATTTTGCTCCTGTACCCTTCATGTGGCCTATGCACAGCACTAACCAGTTTGTCATTAACAAATATTGTAGATATTTCAATTGAATTTGATAAGAAGGCAAGTGAAATTATTTAATATTTATTATATTATAATCAGTGGCGGATTACCCATTAGGCTTGTGAGGCTCAAGCCTAGGGCGGCAAGATGTTTCATGTTATTTTATTTTTATGAACAAAAAAAAGAAAAAGATATGGCATTTAAATGGGGTACTCATAATTATTGGTATCTGAAGAAATTAATGGCTACTTGTTATAACTTGCATTATTACACAATATGCATGAGAAATACGCAGCCGCTAAATAAGAATAAGGCAAAATTAATATCGATTTAATATAAACTGATTGACGTTGGTGATTCTGCGAGTAAATATAAATAAATTTATCAGCGGAAATGTTTGAATGTTTGATGAAATTATCGATTGCAACTTGTAAGATCTATATTATGTAATACAATATTTGAAATAAAGTGTAAATTAATAATTATTCAACCATAGTACCTTTGAACCATATCTCACTCACGGGATGTCTATATCACTATTCGTGTCAGCATATTCAAATTAAGATTTTTGGATAGTATTAAAAAGGGGGGTGGTAAACACTGGCGTGCCTATGGGCGCCGAGAAGGTCAATCCGCCACTGATTATAATACTTATGTTTTATAAAAATTATGAAAAAAAAAACACTGGTATAAAATTAAAATTTTCAATAATTGATTTATCTTGGTATATTAAGTATAAAATTTAACAGCAAGCATATGAAAGTGTTTCCTGCAAAATATATTCTTAAAAATAAATAAATTTAGATTGTTAAAAGAAAATTGAAAACTTAAGAGACCAATTAATTAATAAATAAAAAAGTGATAATATTCCAATATAAATTCATAAAATGATTGTAGTAAACATTAGTTAACATGCATGGCTCAGATTTTATGTGTGATAATAATTTAGAATATTTCTGAAAATGCAAATTTTTATTGTAATGTAGTAATCAGATTGAATTTAGTGGCACAACCAKGGCTAAAATGTTTGGTGCCTGTAGTCTCCTTCTGACATTACATGAAAAGTAACCCATGGAAGCAACGTCACTCGTACAAATTCCCTTCTAAACCCTTCTCTAATTTTACTTTTGGTTGATTTAACTGTTTAAAAAATAATCCCTAGGCCCTAAAGTCGGATATTTTTTTCCTCATTCTGACAAATTTTTCTATTTTTGTTTTTTACTTACAGTATTTAGAATATATGTCTGATGAGAATTTAGATGAAGGTTCAAAATGTTTGAAAAATACTCTAAAACGGTAATTATTATTAACTTTATTTTTTTAGCGATTTATCTAATTTTTCATTTATGCTTTTGTTTAAATAATTATGTATTTATGTTTTTTTGCAAAACATTGTAAATGTGTAAAATAATTAAAATATTTTATTTTCTATAGTATGAGAAGTCGTCACTTTGATTTACTATCCTCCAGTAACGATTCAGTTGAATACATCAAAATAATAACTTCTGTCACAAAACAGCTAAAAAATTATCAGGTTAATTGTTATTTTTTTTCAACGTAAAATATAAAATTCCAAAAGTATAAGTATTATGTATGTTGATGAGCCTTATGATTTATAATAATTAACTTTGTGTTACTAATTTTAGGTTATTTGTAAACTAAAACAATCTATACAAAATGTTGAAGAAGAAATTGATTTAGTTGCACAACACATTTTCCGGTGTGTGATTAATTTTAATTTGATATTAATATACAAACCAAATATAGTTTTTAATACTAAAATATTATTATTCTATTGTTAACATTATGTTTATCAGTCGACCGACATTTAATCCACAAATTGAATACCTCACAACTGGATTGAGTGATTTATGCACGCAGATTCTCAAGTTTTGTTATATGAAGGGACAATGTGGTGCTTCACAGAGAGAAATCAAAGTAAGTAATGATTAAATGTGCATACAAAATATAAGTGGGATAAAACATTTTTTTGCTGTTCTGTTTGGATAAATTTTTTTTTTACATATGAACAGAAAAACTTTGAAGATTTGTCTTTGTTTGCTCTTACAACGTCTGTGCGATATCTGACAGATAAAGATCTGTTATTGAGGGCTGGTATCGAAGTACCAGTTTATGTACATTACCAAAATACAAATTTGTGGTTGGTAAAATTACCAAGTGAAAATTGGTCCAATGCTGTTGACACAATAATCATGGAGGAGGAAAATTTATTACATATAGAGTAAGTTGTATTTTTTTTTTTTTTATCTTAATGAAAATGAATATTAAATAAATACATTTTAATATTTTATTTAATAATTATTTTTAGATCAGATTCTGACGATGCAGATTCAATACTCCCGCCGATTAAAAGGCTGCGTGAAGAACAGCCAACAGAGTAAGTTGTACTCATGTTCTGACAATCATTCTTTTTGATAACTTACTATCAAACACATAATTTAGAACGAACACTGAAACCTTCGATCACATAATAATCCGCCCCTGGACTAGACTGAATTTAACGATCAACAAAGAACTTTTGGAGAAATTTTTAAACTCCGTTCTATCAAAAATCATTGTCAAACCCGGCATTTACCTAAAAACCCTAAAAAAAGATTATTGCAACATCTTTCAGCCAATGGTTGTTAGGGAACTTGTAGAAGTAAGTAACTGTTTATTTATTTAAATTTTTTTTCTCATTATTTAATGTTTAAATTTGTTTTATGCCATAATAGATGCTTGAGGCTATGAAGTGTATAAAAATGATTCACTTAAAAAATATTTGCAGACCTTCATTTTTTTCCAATCCATGGCCGTTGAATCATAATTTGGTGTTTTGTAAGTAAAAGTTCAATAATTTAAAGATCAAAAGTTCATTCAGGAAAATTTTAGGAGCCATTTAATAGACCATACATTAACAATATTTTTTTTTAAAGGCTTTAGTTACTAATTGTCGCATATTTATATAATATAAGTTTTATTCAAAAAACTCTACATTTTTACCCATCAGTAGTTCTATATGTGTAATATGTGTATGTAAATAATGTATATTATAATAATTCTTCCTAAACAATGTAAATTATGTCAACCAACGGCCTCCGCTGCCGAGGCTTATTTCTAATAATAATAAAAAAAAAAATTCTATGTTAGAAGATTTCTACACAATTAGGTTTACAGTTAGGTGTTGACAATTTTAGTCCAATGGTTGACACTTAATTTAACTGTATTTAAAAAATGAAAGTATATATTATATACTTAAAATAAAATACAGTTAAGTATATGTAAATATTTTTTTTTTTAAATATACTTCTATGGTTGTTTTACTTATTAAAATAAGGTTGTGTACATATTTGTATTCATTTGAATTAGTTGCAAATATTGTTTTACAGCTGATGTATTGGGATTGGAAGATGATTCATTAATAATGCTTGAACCCACTCTTGACTGCGAAATCAGATTTGGATATTTTTCAGAAAAATTTGGTGATTATGTTAAGTAGAATAATATTGTGTATGTCAATTGTTTTTTTTTTTATTATAACATTAATTCTGCTTAATAAAATCCAATAAATTGAACATTGCCTTTTTGTAATTTTTTATTTTGTTTATTACTTTTATATTATTTACATTTTTTTAGTTGATATATGATATTAGTAAATTAAATAAAATTGTTGGATACATTTTACATAGAATAGTGTTTATAAATAACAAAATGTAATGTATAACAATTGATTAGTTGTAACTTATATTTTATTGTCTGTGTATAGTTGATTACTGATTACTTGGATTTTCCTTACACTTAAAACTCAAGTAGTTCAATTTTTTTTATTTAATGTCAATATATTTATAATACATATAAAAAATGTTTAAAATATTAAGACTTAGTTACAAAATAATGAAAAATTCTAATAAACATCATCAAATTATTAAAATTGTTTTCAAACAAGGATTTAATTACATTCAAGAAGAGTTTATAATATAATAAACTAATAAAAAACAAACGGTTAACATCATACAAATTATGCCTTACCACTGCTAGGAGTGTCTATAACTTCTGGTTTTTTTTCACTTTCATTGTATGTTTTCATATATCTTTTCAACTCTGCTGTAGCTTTGTTTATCCTAAGACAGTAATCATAATTTATTAACATTAAAATAATTGGCTACATTTTTTACTATAATTTTATGTAAATTGATTTAACACATTGGAGACCAATCACGTTTTACAACTATATACCATCTAAAAAAGGAATATTTTTGCTTCTTTTACACCTCAGGGCGAGCAGTTTTTAAATTCATCCATTATAAACAGCCAATAGGCGCTACAAGTTAAATTCCAGTGATGCTCCACGTGGAGCAAATAATTTAATTATTTAATGTAAATAATCGATACAATATTTCCTATCGATAGATTGTTAAATGAAAACAATAGTGTGAGTTTAGGATTTTATATAGATTTTTAAAATTTGATCGAAGACTTAACATGCAAGACCCGTGATTTGTCTTTCATGAGTAAAATAATCAAAATGGGTCAGATGCGTACTCGTCTCAAACATAATTTTTAGATTATGAAATTATGACAGTCTGTCTTGAATGTGTTAAGGGAACTAATATGAATAATTGTGAGAGAGTTTGATAGTGTGCAAATTACAACATCCAGTGGAAGTATCAGCTTAACCTTGTAGTGTTTGCATAAGATAATTTTCTTCTCTCATATTTTAAGTCGAAAACTATTGGTTCATTCATAATTATATTTTCATATAATTCTTAGTATTCTATCATGAATTATTTAAAAAAAGATTTATAAAAAACAGACACTTTATCATTCACTTATGAAAGTATATTACATCCTAAATTTAACTAGTTCATAAAAAAAGTATTTATTCTTATTATGTAATAACACTGAAAATATAATAATATTGTGGAAAAAAATAAACCTATTACAACATTTTTCAAACATAGAATCAATAAAAACAATAAAATAAAAGTAGTATATTATTTTAAATTTTATGCCAAATTTTTTGCAGGAAGAATTTGGCTGCTACAGTTGCCAAAACCAATTTTATATCCATTTCCTTGACAAAATCCTGATATTATTACTTCATCACCATCCTCAAAATATTTCAACTTTCTTTCACCTAGGTCTATAAATATTTTCCCTCCTCGAGTTCTTTCTATCAAACAAGCACGCTGTTCCTCTTCTGGACCACTAATAGTTCCAGATGACAATAAATCCCCTGGTTGTAAATTACAACCATTAATGGTATGATGAGCTATTTGTTGTATTGGAGTCCAGTACATATACTTATAGTTGGTATTACAAATGGAATGAGTTTTCTGTGATTTTTGACCACGGACACTTGCGTTTAATTTGATGTCAAAATTGTATTTAAAGTCATGCAGTAAATACTTCAACGGAGTCAGTTCTTGTTTAAAGTTGTTCGTTTTGAATTCTTCTAAAGCTTCCATTGTCACTATCCAGGGTGAAATGGTAGTGATAAAATTTTTTGAAAGAAATGGTCCAAGAAAATATGATTCCCATTGCTGTATGTCTCTGGCACTCCAATCATTCAATAAAACCATACCAAATATGTGATCTGAAGCTTTGTTGATTGGTATCGGTTCATTCAAAGAATTTAAAGAACCACCCACAAAAAATGCAACTTCTAGTTCATAATCTAACATTTCTGTGGGACCAAATTTCACTTGATCATCTTTTAAATACTGCACACATGGCCGAACAACTGGTGTACCAGATATTCTAATTGATGATGCTCGACCATGATAAGCAATTGGCATATTTTTCCAATTATCAGCTATAGGTTTATCTGGTGCAAAGAGGCGACCGCAATTGTAAGCATGATAATATGATGAAAAAAAATCAGTATAATCACCTATTATAGTAGGCAAATGCATTTTAACTTCATTTTGATTCCGAAATACACCATTCTTCAAATTCTCATGATTTTCAATGCTTAAATAAGATTGAATCGACTTACGAGCTTGGGACCATGTGTTTTTATTTAAAGCCATGAAACTTTGAAGAGATGGTTGTTGAAATACTTCACGTAGAGGTTGTTCAAAAACATTTTTGGAGKATTTTAAATCCAGAATTTTATCACCAATAGCAACTCCTATTCGCGGTGTTGAATCGTCAGTAGTTGAAAATACACCATATGGTAAATTTTCTATTGGAAAATGTGATTCACTAGAGTATGGTATGTAGCTTTTCATAGGCATATTGACACACAACTTTGTAATATCGGCAAAAAGTTAAAATTTTAAAACAACACTGAACACATACTGATTAGTGATAACTGTTGTTTTTCATATTATAAAGGAAGTTTCTTATCATTACATAACATACGTGGGTTTTTTTTTAAATAAAACCTGAGGTCAATATTTACAACCTATGTGATAAGCATTTTTTTTTTAAAGGTTAGTGGTTTCAATATGTATATTTTTTTTATGCTAATATTAAAATGAAGTAGGCTATTGTCAAGTGTTCAATTTGTAAATAATAAGAGCATTAATTTTATATTTCTGATTAACCTCTAATGAAGGTTAATGTATATGTATTTAGTTGATTATAAATTAATTTTTTAATAATAAGGTATATGTGGCTTTTTAAACATTTTCTCTGCAGAACAAAATGCCTATCTTCTTTGATCAAAAAATTCATCTTTTTTAGTATTGAAATATTTAATACTTAAGATATATTATTATTGCTACTAGCTTACCCAAGTACCTGTCTTGGTAGGGGAACGGAAAAAATCTCAAGGAAAAAAGCTAATAAAACTGATAAAATATACAATTTTAAACATTTTAAATAAAACCAATACAATCATTCTGTATAATAATATGTTAGTTTTGTATGAAAAATACATTTAGAGGATGCTAGACACATATTAATTGTTGTCTTCATCTTACAAGTGCATATCATAGTCAATTTACGATTAGCAGATCACATTTAACTACTTTAATTTAAAAAATAAGAGTAAATTGAATTATATTATGAAACTTAATAGTAAAAACACTATCTTTGTTTGTAAGTGGGTTTTTTTTATGATAAATTAGTTTTTAAGTAAATTATGAGCATTTTTAATTCTGCTTATTTTATGTACGCATAACTTGTTACGAAATCGAACTATCGTAAAAAATCCACATACAAACACAGATTATGTTCTACACATCAAGTTTCATAATATGACCACTCACTCTAATTTATAAACTAATGGAGCAAAGCGTGATCTGCTGAGCGTCAATTTACTATTTTATGCACTGTAAGACAGAGACAACAAATGGTTGTGTAGCATCCTCTAAATACAATTAATATAAAATGTACTGTTCACATATTATATTTAATATACACTAATTTGGTGTGGAAAATTGTACGTAAAATCATGATGAAGTTTACTATTATATAATAACTACATATTTTATTTGTCCAGTATCTTACAGAGGTAGACAAAAAACCAATAATTTTTGGTTTTTACCTATGGCATCGGCAGTATAAATACATTAAATACAGGTAAGCTTAGGTTAGGGTAAGGGTAAAATAAAATATTAACTTATAATATAATAACTATACAGTTT